TGGCGCCACATTTGCCTTCTTCCAGCAGCTGGGAAATTCTCCCTGTGTAAATGAGTCATTATAGATTAGTGCTAGAGGTATGCTGAGGGCCTGTGCTGCTTCTTTTAACATCCATGGTGATATTATATCTGGCCCAGCAGATTTAGTTACATCCAGTGATGCTAGCTGTATTCTTACATCCTCTGCTGTTACCTCAATATTTTGAAGTTTCTCTTCAGAGGCTGCTTCCTCATCTAGGTCTGGAAGCTGTTCAGGCTCGGTAGTGAACACTCCATGGAAGCTGGCGGTGAGCTCCTACCAATTTTTTTATTTTCTATATATTGGTGATGCTGTGACCTGGCCTCCTCTTTTTCGTAACCTGGTCACTTGGTCATTCACTGTCAGTTTCCTTCTTATATGACTATGTAGGAGTTCCGGTTGTCTCCTTGCTTTGGAGGCCATATAATTTTCATATTTTCTTTCTGCCAATCTTATTATGTTTATGTAGTCATTCCTGGCCCTGTTGTATCTATTCCGGTTTACCTCTGTCCATCGCCTTCTGTATTTCCCCCACTCCTTTTTGCTTTTGCTTCCTGGCACTGTCTTGTCTCTGTCTCTGTCTCTCTCTCTCTCTCTCTCTCTCTCTCTCTCTCTCTCTCTCTCTCTCTCTCTCTCTCTCTCTCTCTCTCTCTCTCTCTCTCTCTCTCTCTCTCTCTCTCTCTCTCTCTCTCTCTCTCTCTCTCTCTCTCTCTCTCTCTCTCTCTCTCTCTCTCTCTCTCTCTCTCTCTCTCTCTCTCTCTCTCTCTCTCTCTCTCTCTCTCTCTCTCTCTCTCTCTCTCTCTCTCTCTCCCTCGTCATCTCTCTCTCTCTCTCTCTCTCTCCCTCGTCATCTCTCTCTCTCCCTCGTCATCTCTCTCTCTCTCTCTCCCTCGTCATCTCTCTCCCTCTCCATCTCTCTCCCTCTCCATCTCTCTCCCTCTCCATGTCTCTCCCTCTGCCCCCACCCCAGCACCCAGCAGGCACCTCCAAATACATCACCGCATCATGATCTTATTAAGCCCTCTTCCCGCCTGCAGGCTTGAGGACGAGCAGCGGGAGATGAACCACGTGGGCGGCGTCAGCTCTGAGGCTGCGGGCGGCGAGCTAAGCATGGGCGGGGACGTGGGCGTGACCCTGCGATGCGCCGTGTACAAGAAGAGTGTCGGTGTGGTGCACGAACTCTGCTCGGCCCACACTGTGTCAGCGGCACTCTGCGTACAGCGGTGTAAGTCACTCTACATCGACCTGTCTGTGTGCCTGGAAAGTGAGCTCTAGCTCTCAGGCTCCTCCTCCTTTTTCATTGCCGGGTATCTAGGACAGTATCTTTCGACCCTATCCTGATACATGTTGCCTGCTGATGACGCTGTGAATGGCGTGTGTTTCTCCTTATTCATCTCCACTTGTTCTCAGACGTGTGTCTAGCCTCCAGCCGTCTCCTCTCCTGCTGACACCTCTACTCAGTATTCTGTCCCTTGTACACGTTTGGTAGATTTCCTTTTGTTTATCGTTTAGTGACCCATGCCTATGGTGTAGGTGGTGATGGAAGGGTCAGGCACGTGATGGGCTCTAGATCTGAACCTCAAATACAGTATTGTATCCGTTTGGCAAAGCGATTCACGGTAATACAAAATTTGTTTTTGGTGCATGAGGTGAGAATGCAGGCTCTCAGTGTACAATATTTGCAGTAAGCAAGAAGGTTAGTAGGACAGACACGTGTGACGATTTTAACTTAGTAATTATAGTGCTCGCGAAGAGTAATAGTCAAAGTTAATAATAAGAAAGCAAAATTTGCATTTGAGGTCATTGCAAATTTAGACATTATGTGTAATTGTCCTACTACAACAATAGGCAAACTTGGAAGACTTGGCCAAAATGTTGGATAATATGACATTTTGAACGAAATATCTATATATATTTCTTTAGCAGCAGCGATGAAAGTTCTCATATACAACCGTATGTAATAATACAGAGTGTGAGGGCAGTAAATTGTCAACCACACTATCGTGGAAATAAACATTTCATTCACTTGGGCACTAGGAGACTCGAACTCTGGCCCCCACGAGCGCGAAGCAAAAGTTCTGCCACCGTACTGCGCAGATGGCTCCAATCGAGAAGATTTCTCAAGAGGAAAAGGTGTGAGGAGCAGCTTTACTGACAGTTGTTCCTCGGAATATTTTGTATTCAGTGATCAGGTCTCTCATGTTCCTTCCCTAGTAATCCAAGGCTCAGTTACCGTAGTCTATCTCCGCTCTCAGAATGTTAGCACAAGTCTTGCAGCTAATATCTCGATTTATTTTGATTGCCTTGAAGGAGTCCAAACTTCGGTTGCTATACGACGTTGTGATGTTTGCCAGCATCTCTTACGCTACTGATGTTTGTTTGCGTGTGTGTCTCTAGAGATAGTGTTGGGATTATATCCACTCCTTTTACACTCCCGCCCATAGGATGGGTGGGGGGAGGTGTATAATAAATGAACTAAACTAACTCACATGTCCTTTTCTTTTCCCAATTCCGATCAGTTGCTGTAGCCTTATGGCGCAGATACCTCTTCGTCTCTTTTTCTCTATTTCCCATCTTGTTTACCTTACACTTTAAACCTTACACTTGTTTGGATTGAATTCTAGCAACCATTTATTTGCCTTTTCTGGAGTTTGTCAAAGTCCATCCTCCAACGTTCTGCAGTCCTCGGTTTTTACATACCTCATTAGCTATGTGTTGTAGCGCACATGGACATATGTACAAGCTCACTCCCTCGAATAGATCATTCCCATAAATTAGAAACAGTAGGGGTCACAGGACCGACCCTTGTTATATTCCTTGAACTCAAAACCTTTTCTCTGTGACATTCTGTTTTCTGCCCATCCGGTAGTCCCTTATCAAGTTAATTGTCCTCCCAGTTATCCCAGCTTGTTTCCTCCATCTTGTACAGCCTTTCACGAGGATCAGTATCATTATACTTTGTGACAACTTGGGAAAATTACAGTCGACCCAACCATCATTTTTCTATCTTATTTTAGTAACCCCTGTCATAGAACGCTGTCAAGTTTGAGAGGTACAGCATTACGTGTCTAAATCCTCACTGCCCTTTCATTATAAGGTTTAGACCCCTCCTCCTCCCCCTCTCTAGGTGTTCAATTATTCTCAAGCCGATTACTCATTTCAGCACTTTACCCGGAATACTTGTCATCGGCACTGGCCTGTAATTTAGTGCCTCCTGCGTGTGTGTGTGTGTGTGTGTGTGTGTGTGTGTGTGTGTGTGTGTGTGTGTGTGTGTGTGTGTGTGTGTGTGTGTGTGTGTGTGTGTGTACTCACCTAGTTGCACTCACCTAGTTGTGTCTGCAGGATCGAGCATTGACTCTTGGATCCCGCCTTTCGAGCATCGGTTGTTTACAGCAATGACTCCTGTCCCATTTCCCTATCATACCTGGTTTTAAAATTATGAATAGTATTTGCTTCCACAACCTGTTCCTGAAGTGCATTCCATTTCCCCACTACTCTCCCGCTAAAAGAAAACTTCCTAACATCTCTGTGACTCATCTGAGTTTCAAGCTTCCATCCATGTCCTCTCGTTCTGTTACTATTCCGTGTGAACATTTCGTCTATGTCCACTCTGTCAATTCCTCTGAGTATCTTATACGTTCCTATCATGTCCCCCTCTCCCTTCTTCTTTCTAGTGTCGTAAGGCACAGTTCCCTCAGGCGCTCTTCATACCCCATCCCTCGTAGCTCTGGGACGAGTCTCGTTGCAAACCTCTGAACCTTTTCCAGTTTCATTATATGCTTCTTCAGATGGGGACTCCATGATGAGGCGGCATACTCTAAGACTGGCCTTACGTAGGCAGTGTAAAGCGCCCTAAATGCCTCCTTACTTAGGTTTCTGAATGATGTTCTAACTTTTGCCAGTGTAGAGTACGCTGCTGTCGTTATCCTATTAATATGTGCCTCAGGAGATAGATTAGGTGTTACGTCCACCCCCAGGTCTCTTTCACGCGTCGTTACAGGTAGGCTGTTCCCCTTCATTGTGTACTGTCCCTTTGGTCTCCTATCTCCTAGTCCCATTTCCATAACTTTACATTTGCTCGTGTTGAATTCTAGTAGCCATTTCTCTGACCATCTCTGCAATCTGTTCAGGTCCTCTTGGAGGATCCTGCAATCCTCATCTGTCACAACTCTTCTCATCAACTTTACATCATCCGCAAACATCGACATGTAGGACTCTACGCCTGTAAACATGTCGTTAACATATACAAGAAATAGAATTGGTCCCAGCACCGATCCTTGTGGTACTCCACTTGTTACTGTTCGCCAGTCCGACTTCTCGCCCCTTACCGTAACTCTTTGGCTCCTTCCTGTTAGGTAGTTCCTTATCCATTCTAGGACCTTTCCCCCCACCCCCGCCTGTCTCTCGAGCTTGAACAGCAGTCTCATGTGCGGTACTGTATCAAAGGCTTTTTGGCAGTCCAGAAATATGCAGTCTGCCCAACCATCTCTGTCCTGTCTTATCCTCGTTATTTTATCATAGAATTCCAGTAGGTTTGTTAGGCACGATTTCCCTGTCCAGAACCCATGTTGATGTTTGTTCACAAACCTAATGTTCTCCAGGTGTGCAACCAGTCGTAGCCTAATTATTCTTTCCAGTATTTTACAGGGGATGCTTGTCAGTGATACAGGTCTGTAGTTAAGTGCCTCCTCCCTATCTCCTTTCTGAAGATCGGCACGACATTTGCCTTCTTCCAGCAACTGGGCAATTCTCCTGACATAAGTGACTCATTAAAGATCATTGCCAGAGGCACGCTGAGGGCCTGTGCTGCTTCTTTTAGTATCCACGGTGATACTTTGTCTGGTCCAACTGCTTTAGTTGCATCTAGAGTTGTCAACTGTTTCATTACCTCCTCTGCTGTCACCTCTATATCTGATAGTCTTTCATCTAGGGTAACCCCTTCCAACAATGGGAGCTGCTCAGGCTCGGTAGTGAACACTCCATGGAAACTGGCATTCAGTGCCATTCAGTTCAGTGTGTGTGTGTGTGTGTGTGTGTGTGTGTGTGTGTGTGTGTGTGTGTGTGTGTGTGTGTGTGTGTGTGTGTGTGTGTGTGTGTGTGTGTGTGTGTGTGTGTGTGTGTGTTTACTCACCTATATGTGGTTGCAGGATCGAGCTAGCAAGATTGAGATCAGGTAGGAGAAACCATTTATTCACAGCACGAACACTGAAAAAGTTCCTCCTAATATTTCTATGACTCATTTGCGTCTCCAGTTTCCATCTGTGACCCCTCGTTCTGCTGTGCTTTGAACCACGCTGCTTTATCTACTGTGTCAATTTTCCCCGTGTGTGTGTGTGTTTTAGTTTTGGAGAGGCACTGTGACTAATGAAGCCACTTGTTGCAAATCTGGTTGCTCTGTATTGTTAAAGACTCACCTGTGATAATACCCCTACAACATGCAATGCTGTTATTTCCACCGTCAAGATGTCCCGTGTACCTCCACGTCTGTCTTATTTACATTAATTCGTACCATCGTCTATTATCGTACACACCCCCTGTCTTGTGTACAAATCTGCCTTCATGCACCCGGCTTTAGTGTCTTTTACTCTGTCCAACCACTTGGGCTGGACGGTAGAGCGACGGTCTCGCTTCATGCAGGACGGCGTTCAATCCCCGACAGTTCAAGTGGTTGGGCACCATTCTTTGCCCCCCGTCCCATCCCAAATTCTTACCCTGACCCCATCCAAGTGCTATATAGTCTAATGGCTTGGCGCTTTCCCATGATAATTCCCCCCCTTGGATATTTACCCGAGGGCAAATATGTACCCGAGGGCAAATATGTACCCGAGGACAGGAAACCGGCGGCTTGTCAAAGGTCCCCCCCATTTGCCCTGATGATATTTTCCACATGTACTTTAAGCCCTAAGAGAGCTTTGACATTTACGGCTTCGGCGGGTAGGCGGTTCCATGGGTGCTTAACCCTATGGGTGAAGAAGCATCTCCTGTTCTCAGTCCTACATTGTGGCTTGTTGAGCTTGAAACCGTTGCTCCTTGTTCGTGTTAAATCTGACCCTTTGAAGAAGTTGTCCAGATCAACATCCTCCAAATTGTTCTGTATTTTAAAGGTTTCTATGAGATCCCTCCTAGCATGCCTGGTTTGCAGTGATGTTAGCCCTGTGGCCCTCAACCGTTCCTGATACGAGAGATGACTTAGCTCTGGAATGATTTTAGTTGCCCGGTGTTGCACCTTCTCCAGAGCAGCTATGTCTTTCTGAAGATGAGGTCCCCATGTCATGATGCAATAATCCAGGTGGGGACGCACCAGACTTATACAATTGAATGACTACCTTCTTTTCCTTAAAGGTTAAGGTACCCTTGATTATTCCCAGGGTCTGGTTAGCCTTTTCTTAGTGCCGCTCCCACTTGTTGTGCAACTTTCAGTGAATAATGGATTCTGACTCCAAGATCTATTCTTCATCTATCTGTTGTAAGGTAGTGCTGTCAATTTGAGTTGTGACGTGGGTTGTTATGCCCCACATGTAAGGTCTTGCATTTATCGACATTAAAAAGCATTTATTCAGGTCATTTGTGGCGTTCATGCCGATCTATTTGTAAGGTCTTAATATCATTTTGACTTCCCACTTTACCATAGCTCTTAGTGTCATCTGCAAATTTGATGATGTGGTTTGTAATATTCTTATCTATGTCATTGATGTATATGACAAAAAAGGGTTGGCCCCAAAATCCTGACACGGAAGGTTAAGGGGGTGAGAGTGAGGGGGAGTATGGGGAGTACACAGTGGGTGGGTGAGTGCAGGCGGGATGGACATGTATACCAGGTTACAGTGATGACACATTGCAGTATTGATTCCGTCATCATAATAACACGCGCCTGTACGCTGCCACTCCATTACTAAACAGTCACGCAGCCACCACCCGGCCCCGCCCAACCACTTTCGCCCCTCATCAGCGCTGTACTCACCTCACCTCACCACACGTGTCCCCACCTCACCTGACACTACTCCATATTGCCCCCCACTGTCTCCCACCTATTACGGGCTCACCATAGCCCGTGCTACATGGACACTTCGTCCTGAGTAGCTAAATCTTTAACAACAACAACCCCCACCCAACACACACCCACCTTCCCATTACCCCCAATTCACCCTATACTAATTTAATTTGCCCCTAAGTGCTAGTTTAATGGGCAGCGTCACTCAGCCAGGGAGTGAACATACCGCCATAGCAGCTTGTACAACACGCCCAATATGAAGAAAATGAGCTGGGTTGTTCATCCTGTCACATGTACCCAGAAGCGGCTTGAACTCTTATTTTATTTACATATTTCTTATGTCTCTTAGAGGGACATAATCTCGTAGATGGTGATCCAGACGGTGTCCTTCACTTATGTTACGGGTTATTCATGCCCGTGCCACCTCTTGGGTGGCTTAACCTTTATCAATCAATCAGTTCACTTACGTCGTAAAGTCTGCAACTTGGCTCCTCGATTGTTGCTTCCATCCCGAAAACTTGTATTCGAGATAAATTCTTACAATTACGGATCCCCTCTCCCGCCGGCCACCATTTCATCCATAACGTATGAGGTTGTCGGCCGCGACTGTATTGTACCTGCGTACAGATTCACCGACTTACTCTCTTGTTGACCACACCACACACTAGAAGGTGAAGGGACGACGACGTTTCGGTCCGTCCTGGACCATTCTCTAATCACAATCGACTTGAGAATGGTCCAGGACGAACCGAAACGTCGTCGTCCCTTCACCTTCTAGTGTGTGGTCTGGTCAATTTCCTAGATATATATATATTTCATTTCTCGAGGTAACATGTGAGATGCCAGGGAAGAAGTCCAGCATATTTGAATCTTATATGATTCTTCCTCCGTGGGAGATCACATCCTTACAGGCTTCAACTCAAGTGATTGTTCAAGGAAGTGGAGTTCTTCGAGAAAGCATACTGATCGATCCTGCCACTTTGAACTGTTTCTTTTTCCTCCTAGAATTAGTGCAGAAAATGTTTGCTTGACAATGGCATTTGTAGTAAGGGGGTCTCTGACAATCTTAATAGCAATCTTAGCATTCAGTTCCTTGAACCTGTTATTGTTGTAGATTCGATCTTTCGGTTGATTCTGGTACTCCAAGAATTATTCTCATAGCTTCATTTTGTATGTTTACAAATTCTTACATCGTTTGAAGGGTACATGCACATCAGTGGCGCAGCAAAGTCTACGACGGACCAACATGTGCAGTGCACAGTACATCATTATAAGTACAGCAATAGAAGCTCCATGACCATTCCAGGACATAGCTCTCAGGGGCCTAGAGATGACTTTTACATGTTCCTGTGAGTTGATCTATCTCTTATTTATTGCCCTTGCTTGAGCCGACACCTTGGAGCGAGTACCTTGCTCCAAGGTACTGAAAGTGGCCAACCCATTCAAGAACATTAATTTGTAGGTCTTTTGTTTTCCCCTCACTTATGATGGGAGTACGCGTGTCTTATTGATGGAGAGAGTGAAGGCAAGTACATTACATTTTCTTAGAATGGAATGAAGATACATTCCATTCGAGTGCTTTACCACTACGCCACGGGGACTGCTTAATGGTCCACATGACTTGACAATGGTCCAGGATGGACCGAAACGTCGTCGTTTCTTCATCTTCTAGCGTGTGGTTTGGTCTCCATATTCTTTGTGCTTGAGACTGCTCCGTCGAGAGTAACTTTGACTTTCCTTCTAATGCGATCCATTTCAGGAGTCTCCCCTTAGACATCAATGCATGCAAGCTCGCCCGAGATAGCAATTCCTTGTGCCTTATCAAAAGGTCCTTTGATGTCAACTTCGTCCTTGGCTGTGTCATTGGCTAAATAATTTACTATGCTATTAGGTGTGTTCCACCCTTCAACGAATCCATTAAGCCCATAGTGTCCCACCTCATCCCACAGTCCCACCTTGTCCAACATTACAACAGAGCTCCTTCCACCACTTCAACACAGCTCCTTGACCACTGCTTCGTTACCACTTCAATATAGCTCCTTCCTTCACAGTTACATCAAGGGGGATTTATTTAATTCTTGGTCATTTTACAATAATCTAAGAGTGACATCATTACACAAATATTAAACAGTGTAGTTGCTGCTGTTGCTGGTGCCCACAGCAAACCCCATTCTCTCCATTTGCCACACTGTTAAAAAATGCAGCTATTTTACCTAACCAGGAACATGGATATCTAAGCAACCCGCTAAGTTATCAAGGCCGATGTGCAGTCATCATTAAAATTATGGTGCTTTAACTTATACATGTTATATCTTTGAGGATTGTCCATTTCCGTTACAGGGGTTGCATGGGAACCAGGTATCAACCAGGTTCCGACTCATGCAACCTACTAGGATGGAGCATGGGTCGTGTAGCATGCATTCATTACCTCCATATAATGTTGATACTCTCCCACAGTGTCCAGCCAGCGGCCACTTACCAACCAGTGTCCCCCTTCGGTTCACCGCCAGTGGGTTCTAGTGACACGGCCGACTGAACCTTCCGGCCTGGACGAGACCAAAGCCAGCGTGGTGGGCCTGCAGCAGTGTCACCACCAGCACCATCTCGGCCACACCACCTGCCACCCTCAGGTCAGGCGTGGAAACTAGATGGGTACAGAACCATCAGCTTCTGATTCCAGTTAGCAGACTGAGAACTTTCCCTTCCCATAGATCATGATATGCCTTGCCCACTAGTTTCCATGGAATACGACATGATCCAACAATCGATTAACAACCAGGAATCAAGTAAGTAATTATCAAAAGGCACCAAGCCGGATAGACTTTGTAGGCACCATCTACGTCGCAGGACATTCAAACGGCACTAAATATCACTAAAGATGCCAATACGAGAACAAAAGCACATAAGGGGAATGACATCAAAGAATCTGATTCACCAAGGATTTTCTTGAGGTGACAAATAATCACGAGGGGACAGTTGGGAAGCAAGACACATGAACGTCCTGAAAATCAGGATATTCAACAAAGAGACATGCCTCAATTTACCAATATCTCCCGCCTAGTAAAGACTGTGCTTGAATTCTTTGTGAAGAATTTAATTTTGTTGTGCTTTTTTGGTTTCTGAACATAAAAGTTCTTATTATAGATCATGCCATGGGTCTCTGAACCTAATAAGACAAGCAAGTAGTGAGCCACAACCGGGTTCTAATGGCATGCCTGCAAAACGTACGAGAGAGAGTACCCCAGAAATGTCATCACTGCCTGAAGTTATAATGAATGGGGACTCCCCTTCCAAACAAATGCTGTATATCATAGGTGATTCCATTCTCCCTAGGAGATGTGGCGTTATTTATTATTTATTTATTTATATACAAGAAGGTACATTGGGGGTTAACAGAGAACATAGAAATTAAGTTGATTTTACATTCTTGTAAAGCCACTAGTTAGTTATAAACTAATAGTCCTGCATAAAGTTATCTTTATACAGGACTGAATGCCGTTCAAATTCAGTGAGTAGCACATTGCAGTTATCTTCCATAAGCAGCATGAAGTCAATGAGGTTATCTTATCTTGAGGTTATCTTGAGATAATTTCGAGGCTTAGCGTCCCCACGGCCCGGTCTTCAACCAAGCCTTCTTTTTATTACACACCCCCAAGGAGCAGACCATAGCAGCTGTAACTCCTAGGTACCTATTTACTGCAAGGTGAACAGTGGCATCAGGGTGAAAAATCTCTACCCATTTGTTTCCGCCTCCACCGGGAATCAAACCCGGAACCTCAGGACTGCGAATCCCGAACACTGTGCACTCAGCTGTCAGGCCCCTAGGTCAAGCCTCTCTCTACCATCGTATCTAGTATATAGTTTGTTCCTTGTGTCTAAAGGAAAACTTAATGCTGAGTATATCCCCTTACATCAGGGGGTATGTGTATAAAGATTTTGGTGCAGCTTTGTTTACTGGTTTGTGTGATCTTGTTTGAGGCCTCCAGCCCTTGCCCTCCACCGGGCAAGTGTTTAAATGGTTCCAAATTTTTTATATGATGCAGACGATAAGTCACAAAAACGTGGCTGAAGACAAGATGACCAAACCACACACCAGAAGATGAGGAGACAACAACGTTTCGGTCTGTCCTGGACCATTATCGAGTAAATTGTGTTAATGGTCCAGGACTGACCATCGTCTCCTCATCTTCTGGCGTGTGGTTTAGTAATCACTGTTATAACGATGTTACATGTTCCAACAACAATAAGGGACCTACCTTGCACCATCATTCACAAGTCCTGAGGGCTTCATCCAATGAGCAAAGGAGTTCTCCATGTATCGGACACTGCAATTTTTTTAGAAAATATAGTCAGATAAAACTATAAGAAACAACTAATTCAATGCAAGTGATTATATAAACTATAATGTAAAGTAATAATTTTAACAAAGTAGAACATCTTTGCTGTACTAGCATTGTGTTTTGTGATATTGTTTCACATGTAGAAACAAATCAGTTTCAGTTGCTAAATTAAACTTACCATTTAGCATACCTCTAGTCTTTGCAAAAAGTACCTTGTGAAACACAAAGTACTCTTACATGTATTAAAGTTCAGTTCTTGTTAGAAGTTTAAACATATTGTTTTTCATGTATGTTGGAGAAATTTTACATTGTGTGCTAAAGGCCTCGGTGGCGCAGTGGTTACACACACTCGCTCTGCTCTTCGCGAGCAATTTGGCCTAGGTTTATGTCCTAGAGGAGGGTGATTGACTATGCATCATTCCTAAACTGTATGCCTCTCTTCACCCAGCAGTGATTGAGGTACCTGGTTGTTAAATGATTGGCAGGTCGTGTTTCAGGGAAACTAGTGGGTAATGCTTACCATGAGCTATGGGAAAAAAAAAACCAGCGTTGAATGTAATGAAACGCCATTTTCTGGGTGAGTCCCGGAGGCTCCCCGGAGCTATCCCAGGCTGATATGCTAATGTCAGACTTTGGCATCAGTCATGTGTATGGAGTTCTTAGGCCTACCGGGGACCACGGCCAGAACCGGGCCCCCTCAGAGAGGCAAGGGGAGCAATGGCCTATAGAAGCCCCCGTGTAGTTGGAAGCATTCTATGTCTGCCATCGACCGGAACAGGCACCCAGAAAGGTAAGCGCCCCAAAACAAACCCCTATTCTGGTTAAAATTGCTACCTAAAACCGAACTAGTGGATAGAACTCCCCAACCGAAAACAAGCAAACTAGTGTGACGTCACACACTGCCGCGCCGCTGTCTGCGCAGCTCCCCCCTCCCCGGGAGGGGGAAGGGGAGCCCCAGACCCCCCGCGCCGGCTACCCACACCTCAGTTCTTGAGGCTGGATGTCAAAAACGCGAAAAACCGCCGACCGGAGGGAGGGAGGGATGCCGGGGAGCCTCCGGGACTCACCCAGAAAATGGCGTTTCATTACATTCAACGCTGGTTTTCTGGGGGGAGCCCCGTCGGCTCCCCGGAGCTAACTACCCACAGACAGAAAAAGAGGGACTTACCCGGGAGGCGGTCGTCGCTCACCCCTCAACTCGAAGCCGAGACAACTGGCTGCAACCGCCGACCCAAAGCAACACAGGCCCGACGAGGCCCAGGGACATTCACAAGGTAACGAGCAGCCAGGACCCTGTTCGACCGCCAAAATCCCCGCGCCCGAATATCAGACCAAGACATATTCCCAAAGACGGCAGCAAGAGCCGCGAACGTACGAACGTCATGGGCACGGGGATAGACCGCAGGCTGGCTGGACCTAATAACCCTGCGGACGACCTGAGAGACCCGAACCCGCGAACAGGGAAGAAGGGAAACCGGATCAACCCACAGCGCGTCCCCGGACACAGAAGCTGTGGCGCGCAAATAACGGCGAAGCGCCGCAACCGGACACAAAACATGATGCACCCCCGGCCTGACCAACCAAGCATCAACCACCCATGGACAAGACCACCCGAACAGACAAGGAGCTAAGACGACGAAGACGCAAAAAGAAATGGAAGGACCGCCAGGAAACTTCATACTGCCGCCGAGAAGAAGCCCTCAGGTGGGACACCAACAAGGAGGCCACCTGATCACCATAGAGATGATGATAGACTCGAGTCAAAAAAACCATACGCGAAGACTCGAGGAGAAGATCGAACCAGCTACGTGACGTACCGGCCCGATCTGCTGAAAGAGGCGGAGCCGCGGGAAAACCCTCGGGTTCGGACACCGAGCAACCAGCGCCTGAAACCAAGGCTGGGCCGGCCACCAAGGGGCCAGAAGGACAACTCTCCCCCGGTAAGTCCCGAAGCGAGTCAGGACCTGGAGCAACAGCCGAACCGGGGGAAAGAGGTACAGGAACCCCCACCTCGACCAGTCGAGCCGAAAGGCATCGACCCCGACGGCCTCGCAATCGGGGAAGGGCGCCGTATAAACTGGAAGACGCCGCGACCACGCCGACGCGAAGAGGTCCACCTCGGGGCGCCCGAACGTCTGGCAAAGCCAACGGAAGGACTCGTCGTCGACCGGCCACTCCGTGGAGAGGGGAACGAAGCGAGACAGGGCGTCGGCCAAGACGTTGGACACGCCCCGTACGTGAACCGCCAGGAGAGCCAAACCCCGAGAACTCAGCAGACGAGTCACCCGAAGCGACCAACCCCAAAGAGACAAGGACCGCATCGAACCCCCGCGGTTCAGGCAATGAACCACCGGAGAGCAGTCCGAATGGAGCCGAATCGTCGATCCGCGGGCCACCCGAATCCTCCCCAGAGCAAACCACACTGCCGCGAACTCCCGCACCGTACTGTGAGCTCGACGGAAGGACGGATCCCAACGCCCCTGGCCGGCCTGGTGAGCACTGGTCACAAAACCCCAGCCGAGAGACGACGCATCCGTGTACACATCGAGCGAGGGCTCGGGTAGGCGCCAAGGCACTGAACCCCGAAAAAACCGAAGAGGAAGCCGGTGACGCAGCAACCGACGCAAGTCCCCCGGGGGTCGAACTCTGCGATCGCGAGAGAGGCGGAAGGGGGAACCCCGAAGGAACCAGAACAGCCGTCGAAGCCAAACCCGACCCGGCGGGTAGACCACCATCGCGAAGTTCAGGCTCCCGCACAGCCCCTCGAGCAACCGCCGGGTGACCCGAGGGCCCTCCAGAAACAGACGAAGGCGGGACCGCAGCCGCAGGAGAGACTCCGGAGGGAGAGACAAGGAGGCGGTTCGAGAGTCCCACACGAGACCCAGCCAAGTCCGAACCTGAGAGGGAACCAGATGGGACTTCCTCCAGTTCACCAAGAACCCGAACCCGACGAGCTGGGAAAGAACCAAATCCCTGGCTAGCAAGCAAGCTGACTGGCTGGGAGCCCAAACCAGCCAGTCGTCGAGGTAGGCCAACACCCAAACACCTAGGAGACGCAAACGAGCCACCACAACCCGTGTAAGGCGTGTGAACACGGGAGGTGCCAGGTTCAACCCGAACGGGAGACAACGAAAGCGGTAACTCAGACGCCCCACTACAAAACCGAGCCAGTCCCTGAACCGCGGATGAATCGGGACATGCCAATAAGCGTCCCGGAGGTCCAGGGACACCATCCAAGCTCCCGGCTCCAAGAGGAGCCGAACCTGAGACAGCGTAGTCATCCGAAAGGAGGGGCAATGAACCCAGGGGTTCAGACGGGACAAGTCCAGAATGAACCGCAGGTCCGCGCAGTCCCGTTTCGGAACCGGAAACAGACGGGAAACCCATCTGAGGGACGACGTCGTTTCGACGACGCCCAAGCGTACCCACTCCAAGACGACTCGACAGAGCGCAGGGGAAGAAGCCTGCCCTGCCAGCCCCGACCCCCCAAAGGGGGGAGGGGCCACCCAACGCCACCGCAGGCCGCGAGACACGACCCGAAAGGCCCACGAATCGTGGGACCAGGCGCGGGCGAACAGCGCAAGCCGCCCCCCCATCGCCCCGTCAAAGGGGCAAACCGCGAAAGGGCCGGCGACCCTTACGAGACCCAGAACCCCGCACAGCGCGAACACCGCGCCGACCAGACGAGGGAGGGTCCGCAGGAGGAGCCAACCCCAAACCTGACACCAGAGGCCTACCACGACGAGAGGAACCCCGAGCCCTGGCACGACCTTTCCGGGAAGACCCACCCCGGGACCCCCGGAAAACCAACAAGTCCGACATCGGACGACAAGCCGCCGACGCAGCCTGAATAAACTGCGCCACAGCCGACTCCCCAAACAGGAGAGGACAAAAAGGTGAAGAACGCCTAAGAGCCAGAGCCCAAGCAGATTCCACGGAGGAACCCAGCACCGCCTGCCGACACGCGAGACGGGAAGCATAGAACAGGGAAACCGCATCCCGCAAAATCGGCGTGAACAGCTTCAACAAGGCAGCCGACGAACGCGCAGCCGAGGACAAGGTGCCGGACCCCGGGACTGACCCAAGCGTCCCCACATCCTCCACGAGCCAATCCGAAGACAGCTCCAGGAGGGAAAAGAACCGCAAGGCCGAACACAAAAGGCCCCGAGCGCGCAAGTCCTCCGCCACGAGCGCCGCCGAAAGGGAGGGAACCTGCACATGGAGCTGAATAACGCCCACATCGCGGGGAAGGGCAGGGGCAAACAAGCACTCATTCAGGTACTCAAGTTCACCCCCCAGGAAAACCTGAAGCACCGTGGAAGCTTCCCGCCACTCCAGCGTGCGGGAACGACAGAAAGAATGCCAGGAATCCAGACCAAACAAGGGGCAGTCTGCTAGCCAGGACGACTCCGGAACCCCGTAACGGAGCCAGAAAGGGAACGAAGTCCCAAACCTGAACGTGGACGGATCCATTTCCGAGGCATAATCCGGGTCACGCAGGAGGTAAGCTGCAAAGGCCGCTCGCACCACACCAGGTTGGATGCGATAAGCCGAAAACCTCCAGAAGGACGAAACCGACGTACCCGGGGGAACACGGAACCGTACCCGGGGAGGGGCCGACACCAAATCCAACTCGTACGCAGAGGGGGGGAAAGAAAACCCCACTCCTTGTAACAATAAGCCCCGCTCAGTGGGAAGAAAAACCCAGGCGGGGTCCAGCGGGGCCCAAGGCCCCCAAGTCAGCCCCTCCCCAGCCTCGAGGTCCGTCACCACAGGACCCGAGGCCGAGTCCTCTCCCCAAGCCCCGACCCCACAAGACAAGGACGGAGCAGCCGGAAAAGCTGGAGGAAGGGGGGCCCACTGGTCAGACCCTGAAGCTTCGGCCGGGAGACAAGACTCGAATGCCTCTGCCACCCCCCCGGAAGGGGCAACCCCCGAAGCTGCCCGAGTCTCGAGATCAAGTAACCCCTGCTCCGACCCCGAAACCCTCAGACGCTTCGGGGCCGGAAGCAGGGGCGGGGGACCAGAACGAACAGAAGGGGAAGGACGAGGAGGTGCGGACTGAACCAGGATCGAAGCGACCCCCACCCCCAAGTCCGGGTCTCGAAAAGCAAAGCGGGGCAGCCCCGGGGCATCCGGGGAAGCAACCAACCGAGCGCGTTGCAACAGACGAAACCTAGACTGCAACGCACGTGCCGCCTGTACCCGAATAGAATCATCAGAGGATTGGGTAAATTGAGTCACAAGCAAGCAGCAACACTCACAGGACTCAGGGTCGAAAGTATCACCGACCCAACAGGCAGCGTGGCAGAGGCAAAAACAATGAGGGTCACCCTGAGACAAGGGGACCGAGCAACCCTCAAACTCGCACACAGCGAGTGGGGACTCCGGGGTCACATCCATCGGACCCACGCGCCCCCTAGGGGAGTCCCAGGGTCCTGAGCGTTTACTTTAAGAGGACTCGCGCTCAGGTAGTCCCAGGCAGGGTGCTGCAAACCGGCGCCCAAAACTACCAAGCAAACTTCTAAAGCTGAACCCCAGGGACGTGTACACTCACGGGGACCTAGCAGGGGGCGCCACCGAGGAGAACAGTGGAAGGGCAAAAACAAACTGAATAAAATGACAGAACCCCCCACCAGGCAAAAACAAAAAGAAAAACAAAACCCCGCAAGAGGACAGCGAACCCCAAGGAACAGAGCCGGCCGCGATGTCGGGAATTACAAGCTGAGCAGCACCCTGCGCCCCTACCAGTGCAAACTGCCTCTTACCTGCCGGTAACAAGGGAGAACAGAACACCCAAGAGCCCAACAGGCGGCCGAAAAACCGAAAGGTAAAACGGACCAGCAGAGGCAGACCCCGAGGAGCCTGTGGAAGGTGGCCCCAAGCCCCAAGGGCAGTACTTACAGGGCACCTAGGGAAGGCAGCCCTAGGCGCATGCAGCCCGAGTACTGAAGATAACTCCTGGCTCTCGCACCCACAAAACTAACACCACACTCAAAGCACAGTGCAGTAGCGACACCGGAGCCAGAGCACACGACCATCGCCTATAGCATCAGCCTCAAGAACTGAGGTGTGGGTAGCCGGCGCGGGGGGTCTGGGGCTCCCCCTTCCCCCTCCCGGGGAGGGGGGAGCTGCGCAGACAGCGGCGCGGCAGTGTGTGACGTCACACTAGTTTGCTTGTTTTCGGTTGGGGAGTTCTATCCACTAGTTCGGTTTTAGGTAGCAATTTTAACCAGAATAGGGGTTTGTTTTGGGGCGCTTACCTTTCTGGGTGCCTGTTCCGGTCGATGGCAGACATAGAATGCTTCCAACTACACGGGGGCTTCTATAGGCCATTGCTCCCCTTGCCTCTCTGAGGGGGCCCGGTTCTGGCCGTGGTCCCCGGTAGGCCTAAGAACTCCATACACATGACTGATGCCAAAGTCTGACATTAGCATATCAGCCTGGGATAGCTCCGGGGAGCCGACGGGGCTCCCCCCAGAAATTTCTCTAAACCTGCTAACAGGAGTCAACAGGAGTCTGTTCCTGTACCCCACCTGTGTAAAAATAAAAACAAAAAGGCACACACTAACAGTTATGAAGATCCCCTTACCTATTATATGCAGCACATTTTACTTCTCTTGTATTTACATTTGATTAGTAGTAGGCATCAATCAGGAGACTATGGAGTTACGCACTTGAGACAACATTTGATTAGCCTGTGTATAAAGCCTTATCTATTACTATATGCACTAGTATTAATGTTGAATACTTCTACCAACAGAGAGGGTGGCAAAACACAATCTGCCCTCCAGAGACATCACCACCAAAACATAACAAAAATGCAAAGACACTGCAGAGAGGTCTCCGCCAGCTGGACCGTGGACGAGTTCGGACATCGCCCAGACCTTCTCTCTCTCTTGCGGTTGATGAGAGTGATGGTCAAGAGCAAAGTCCCAAAGATTCCTTACCATATCAGATCAAAAGAAACAAGCGGAACTCTCAAAGGAATAACAGTGACATCAATTTAAAAGAAAATTTAGAGTTACATAAACCAGAGACTACTACTTCTCAAATGCCTTTAAGGAGAATGACATCTACAGCTATACCAAATAATTTGAATGAAATGCCAATAAATACACTCGAGAATTCTACTAAAATTTCGACCCAAATCCAAGGTGAGAGGCAAAGCAATATTGCATTTATGGAAGAAGAAATGCAAGTAGTTAACCTTCCAATGAATGAGACATTTGATGGTCAGACAACAGACAGCCCGCCTGTCTCGGATATAGCAGTACAGCAGAGCTTCACAGATACACACAACATGAATATCCCTAACAACAAGGGAGAAACACATGAGGGAAATAATTTGGCAAATAATTCAGAACAAAATTATACTGACCAAAATGAAGTCATTGTTGCAGAAAAGACAGGGACAATTTTAGTTGAAGATGCCCATGAAATAGTCACAACAGTAAAAGCAGCTGAAGGATTAGGACCAATGGATGAAACATGGACCAAAGAGACTGTTGCTGTTGTCATAGAAGAAGAAGAAGAAATGAATTATGAGCAAGATAAAGAAACATCGGAAGGAAATAACACATTCACAGTACAGAATCATGCCGTTTTTCCAGTGTTCCCAGAATTTGCTAGACCTAATCCAACTCCTCACCTTAACAGCAAAGAGAAAGAATCTGAGAATATGAGCTTCAGCACTGTCAACTTTGGACTATGCAACACAGAAAAACCTGGAGATACTCCTAAGTTATCATCCCCTATATTACCAACAATTTTGTCCAGTGCAGACAGCCAACAGCAGGCAACTAAAGCTGTGGCCGAAAATGGTGTGGGCCCAGATAAAGTGACAGAAAAAAATCCCCCTGAAATAAACATTTCTCTAACTGGAAAGGAAAACATGGAAGAAAATCCTGACATGAAAAGTAAGAATGATGGAGAACCCAATCATAACATGGAAGGAAAAAACAACACAGAAGCCAAGCATGACATGGAAGGAAAAAACAATACTGAAGCCAATCATAACATGGACGAAAAACACGACAATGAAGCCAATCATAACATGGACGAAAAACACGACAATGAAGCCAAGCATGACATGGAAGGAAAAAAGAGCACTGAAGCCAAGCATGACATGGAAGGAAAAAACAGCACTGAAGTCAATCATAACATGGACGAAAAACACGACAATGAAGCCAAGCATGACATGGACGAAAAACACGACAATGAAACCAAGCATGACATGGAAGGAAAAAACAGCACTGAAGCTAATCATAACATGAACGAAAAACACGACACTGAAGCCAAGCATGATATGGAAGGAAAAAACAGCACTGAAGCCAAGCATGACATGGAAGGAAAAAACAGCACTGAAGTCAAGCATGATATGGAAGAAAAACACAATACTGATGCCAAGCATGACATGGAAAGTAAACATGACACTGAAGCCAAGCATAACATCGAAGAAAAACACAACACTGAAACCAAGCATGATGGGACCTTAACATCTGAGCAAACAAATCTTAAGAATCAACAGAAAGTGTCCCACGAAGCAAAGAATGATTCAAAAGCTCTCATACGTCAAATATTTAGAGATATATTTGGGTAATTCAAGCATTTGATCTCTTTATTAACCATATGTCTCATCTGTCTAGTCA